TTACAGTGGGTGTAACAATAACGTAATTTGCTCCTGAAACAGCGATGAGAATGCAAGGTCGACTGGCCAACTGGACAGGTTAAATGTGTAGATTATACTGTTCATCCAGATCCAAGAGGGCCGAGATTGAATTTGCGACGTAGGGCCTCGTATGAAGCTAAACTGATACCCACCGCAGGTAACACTTTTGCGAGATTGGTACCAGACCGCGATACAAACCGTCTTCTCTGCAGATTGTTTTTACCAAGTTGATGACAGTGACTTTTTGTTGTTTGGTTTGGGTCCAAAAGTCGGCTTGAAGTTTGGCACAAACTAAGCTAGCCGTATATGTGTCCACTATACCACAAGTGGACGACACTTCAGCTAGAACGGGTATCACCTAAGTTGGGGGATGAACATCTGCGGCTCCACCGCAGCTATCCATATCCTCCACCATGAAGCGGTGCACATAGGCTGATTCGCAACGCTCGTACAGCGCCAGCTCGATTCTGGCGTATGGGACAATGCCTAACAAGTTGATAAAATAGCCGCGATAGAATGCCAAAAGTCCATTCTCGCGATAAGCCGCACGCGCACAATCCCAGACGGAAGAAAACTGACCAGATTTTCGAAGACATTTTCGAGTTTTCATGACCTCAAGGGGATAAATAATGGTTTGAGGAGTGAATCCGGCAAAAAAGCCGGCGACGAACTTCGTCAGAAGGGGTCACTCATCTGCCACGAACATTTCGAAAGGTCCTACTCCCGACGTAAGAAATCGCTTTTTAATGTTTATACGAACCAAATTTGAGTTCCGTTTCAGGGGCGATTTGCAACACGCTGATCCCGTTCCCACGCCATAATCACAACAGGCCGTCTTCGCGAAGCATATACTGATAAGCTTCGATGAATCTGCTACCCTTGTGCTTGTAGTCATGGACTTGTCGCATGAGCTTTAGCCGATCGACGGGCGCAGTGCATGTGCGGGAGACAGCGCCAGCAATAGCGCCTGCAGTCAGTTGGAGAAGTTGCTTCCCTGAGCTTTTTCGGCAAACGAATAATCTTCGGGAACACCGATCGCTGCGTCGCTGCTACATCGAGACAACTATCATGCCTCCAATATTCCAGAATTTTAGCAACGTCCTCAGCAGGGTGAAACAGCAGAAACTCCTTGCATTCCCCATAATCAATATTGAGATGGCCCGCTTGGTCTACGCGCTTCAAAAGGCGTTTAGCTTCATCTGCAGTAACTAGCATTCCAAACTGTTTGAAAGTTTAGCGGATGTCATCTGCCGTTAAACGACCACTCTTGCTCTGGCCCAAAAGGTCGAAGGCAGTAACTAAACACTTGTCATGTTCTAACACATAATCTACGAACTCCGGGAACGTAACGTAACCACTTCTCGCGCCTCCGCACCGCATCAGAAAGCTCTCGGCAATTCTGGACATATGTGGCTTGTTCGCTCCGTGTAATTCCTCCAGCACTCGCATGATATCGGAGCTACATATTTTTCCATCTTTGTTAACATCCAAACGTGTAAAGAGAGCCTTCAAAAGCTTCGGGTCCTGAAACTGCACAGACCGCCTGGTATCAACACAACTCACGCGCTACATGGCACACTTCTAGAAGACGTTCAGCGGCTAGCAACCCGAATGGTCTGGGGTCTAAAAGGACTCAGCTACTCGGAAAGACTGAACTCCCTGAACCTGTTCTCTCTAGGACGCCGACGGATGAGGGGGGACCTCATTGAAGTGTACAAAGCTACCAGGAACATGGAGCAGTCCCCCATCGAGCACTTGTTCACCCTGCGGGCCCACAACATCCTCCGAGGGCACTGTTACACACTAGATAGAACCAGATGCAGGCTAGCTATTAGACATCACTTCTTTGCAAACAGAGTAGTCCCTAGATGGAACAAACTACCAGCTCCAATAGTTGAATGTCCCACAATGAAGGATTTCAAACTATAGCTGGACAAGGAGTGGTATCTCTTATTCCCAGAACTGCCCTATGGATTAGGGTTCCCTAATTTTACTGATTGAATGCATATAACAGATACTGCGCCGTCTCCCTTTCCCTTCTACCTTCTAGATATTACTCCCTCGTAGGAGGTTCACAAGGCAAATCCGAGGGATGGGAGGGTTGGACTATCACAGCAGGCTAAGAGGACTTAACCTGTTCTCTTTGGTCGGAAGATGATTAAGGGGGGACTTCATAGAGGCTTTCAAACAACTAAAGGGACGAACCAGGATGGGAACGCAGCTGCTCGCCAGGAATAATAACCTACACTGCGGGGAAACGGAATGAAGCTTGAAAAACCGAGAGCACTAAGGAGCACCCGGGTAAATTTCCTCGCTCATAGGGCTATAAACCCTTGGAATAAGCTACCAGCCTCGGTTGTTTCAGCAGACTCCGTTGGGGAGTTCAAGGGTCGCCTGGACGCAATGTGGACGGAACTTTTTCCGGAAGCTGTATAAAAAGAGACCAAACAGGACAAATGGTGTAGGCATGCGTGCAGGTCCGTTTGTGTACACTTGTGTGTACTGGAGAAGACCTGAATATCCCTGGTGGATAGACAGTAGACTGCTCAGTGTGCGGCAACCACAAAAGCGCTATTATGCAGAGTAGGCGGACAACCGGGCTCAGACAAACACATACTCAAGGTCAGTACTCGAGTGCAAGTGAACTAAAGCATCTGGAAGTACAGCTTCAGCAAGTATGAAGGAGTCTGCTACACGTTTTCACCTCTCTTTCGTGTCCTCTGCACTATCGAATTTTCCTCTGCCTCCTGTATCTCATCAAGAAACCTTACACTTTATCAGCCAGTCTATACAGGACGATCCCAAGGAAACGATCACACCCCCAAACGAGAGAGATTGGCGGCGACGACTCCTAGGGTTGGTATAGTAAGACCTAAATCATACGGGTCGCAGGAGGAAACGGTGATGCTCAGTCGCAAACCGTTATTGGTTCATTTAGGTGAACAGCAATGGCAACCGCTCTGCTGCCCCAAAAGAAACGGATACACGTTTTTACACTATATCTGATGATTTTAACACCATAAACCCTGAGTGCAATGCCAACGGGGTAAAGTTTTCCCCACCTGGCTAAAGAGTGTGCCGAATATGCTAAATCTCTTGACCGAGGGGTGCCCGGTTTTCGAGCCTGACTCTTGTCCCTTCAACTCTTCTTAACTCTTCTTCACTCTATCATTAATGATGTTCACGTAGGAATGTTTCCTTGAATGTTGTTTGGAATCATGGTCCATAAATACTCCTTCACCGACCGCCAACTGATCCAGTCTGGAAAACCATGTCGCGACCCCACCGCATTTGAGACCAGAAAACTAGGTAAAGACAAGATGAGACCCGGTTGGTCTGCGCGTATCCTGTTTATGAAATATGTGAGTATAGTCAGAAAGTTCGCCAAGCACTCAGCGTCGTACAGTCGATCTCGTTCTGGGACAAGAAAGGATGGTTAAAAGCATACACTAATATATGAACAGGACCGCATGAAAGTAAGGAAGGTATAGCGGTGTGTGCAACGACCAAAACGCAATTGTCCTGGTCCGAGCGAAATGAAAAAGACCTCGTCTGTATGCGTTCAATCAAATGATCCTTCGCTCGTTCTGAATAACGATAAACAAAGCTCAGAGCAAAGCGTAGCCAAAATTATCGAGAACCAAGTCGATCGAAAAATAGTCTACGGTACTATTTTTGCATTAACCTCAAATACATAAGACAGTCATACCTCTGATAGTGAGCCTGATTCACTATCCAGCCAAAATGTTACAAATATTCACAGAAAATATCTGCGGTAATAAAAGGTAAATAAGAAAATGAGTGATTTGAACTACCTTTCAGATAATTCGGGACCAATAGGAAAATTCTGCACGCTTCAACAGATCAAGCAAAATAATCTTGAGCGTTACAGCCAAAGGGGGTTCAATATAACCGAAAGCAACAGTTAGTTCAACAACGAGCGTCCAATCGAAACTTTGGTCGCAATAAAACAAAAAAAGCACTGAATCTCATTTACACGTAAGAGCAAAGCACTTGAAGTGTGTGTCCAATAGATATGCTTCACCGTAAAAAAGG